CTTCCCTTCCCTTCCCTTCCCTTCCCTTCCCTTCCCTTTCCTTCCCTTCCCTTCCCGGGAAGTCCCCACAGTACTGGGGACCTGAGAGTCACTAATTTTGCCTTTATCTCTTGCCTTTCCCCAGTTGAGCACAAGAGACAAAGAAGGAAGATGGACTCACATCCCAACAACACGATCCATGACTGGAGTACAGCATCCCCAGCACCTATGGAGAGCGTGGTCTGTGAGGATGGACACAACGGGACCAAGTGCTTTGCAGAACACATCCCTGAAATCGTCACCGGTAGCATCACGCTGCTTATCTGCCTCTGCGGGCTGGTGGGGAACGGGGCCATCCTCTGGCTCCTCGGCTTCCGCATCAGGAGAAACCCCTTCACCGCCTACCTCCTGAACCTGGCCGTCGCCGACACCTGCTTTCTCCTCTGCACAGCGGCTTTCCTCGTAATATATCACATGCCCATGCTCAGCTGTTTTCAGCCAGAGATTTTGCGGGTGCTGCCGCTATTTCACTCCATGGTTCTGCTCACCTACAGCACCAGCCTCTATCTCCTCACGGCCATCAGTGTGGAGAGGTGTGTGGGGGTCCTCTGGCCCTTCTGGTGCCGATGCCACCGCCCAAAGCTCCTGTCAGCCATCATGTGCAGCCTGTTGTGGGCCCTTGCCTGTGTCCTTGCCGGGTTGGTGTACTTTGTGTGTGACCTGGGTCACTCTAAACACTGCTGGAATGTTCTTGGAACCTTCTGCCTTCTCAATTTCTGCTTTTTCACTCCCTTTGTGGTTCTTTCCAACCTGATCCTCTTCATCAAGCTTCGACGTAGCTCTTGGCAACACCACCCAGCGAAGCTGTACACTGTCATCTTCCTCACTGTTTTCTTTTTCGTCCTCTTTGGCATCCCGCTCAGCGTCCAGATCTTCCTCAACTTCTTTGTCTACATTAATTTTGTCTTTGAGATCTGCCTGTTGCTGGCCTCCTTCAACAGCAGCATCAATCCAGTTATTTACGTCCTGGTTGGGAGCTATGGAAATTCCAGGTTCAGGGGCTCTGTCAAAGTGGCTCTGCAGAGGGTCTTTGAAGATCGGGCAGATTCCCAAGAGGTGGGTGAGACCCCTGTGATGGGAATTGCTGCCTAAACCCCGATGGCTGCAGACTGGTACCCGGAGAGGGGGAGCCCTGACTCTGCACCACGGGCCAGCACCCACAGGAGCAGTGCCCTTGCCCTGCTGGGTGAGCAGGACCAGCAGTGGATAGTCGCGTGTCCCCCAGGACATGGCCAGGCTTGATGAGATTTCCTGGGGCAGGGCTGGTTCCCACCTCAAACTTATGTTTAAGTTATTTTAATAAAAGTGTCTTTCATGTAGCTTACCGGTGATTGCAGTTTCTTCCCTTGGTGGCTCCATGGGGTGACCTTGCTTGTTCTCCAAATTTCAGTTGTGACAGTCCCCTCACACAGCCCACTAGTTTATATTGCGGAAATGATGTGGTCCAGAAAGTCCTGCATCATTTTTTTTTCCTCTGGGGTTAACACAGTCACACTCCTGGGTCCCCACCTGTGCCTTGTCTGCTTCCCAGTATGGAGATGTCCCAACTCTTCCTACCCTCTTCTGGGACCTTGGAGCCTGATATTTATGCACTGAGCACTCACTAGCTTGACCCTCAAAAGCCCCCAGACCAGAGGAGATGATAGCGAGGGACAGAAATTACATTTTCAGCTCCCTCTGGCTTGATGTCCTCCTGTGCCCCAGTCTGATGGAAGAAACCCATCTCAGTCTGACGGATCATAGAATCATAGAATGGTAAGAGTTGGAAAGGATCTTAAAGCTCATCTAGTTCCAACCCCCTGCCATGGACCAAGATGGACAGAGGATGGATGGACAGACAGATATCTAGGGGCTGATGGCTGTTGGAAAGTGCAACTCTGTGCACCGGGTGGTGAAGCCCATGGAGCAAACTGCTAGGAGAGACCCGAGAAGAGCGACAGAACTAGAGGATGGGAAAGCTCTCACAGGCGAAAGCTCCAGGAGGCTGAGCTCTGCCCGCCAGATGGTTTGATCAACTTTCCTGACACACACAAACAACTGCTACCAGCGCCATAATATTTACAGAACGTAGCTTCCTTTGAACACATACAAGCCTGACCCCTATGCAAACAAATAACTGATGTCTGTAAATCTGGTGTTGGAAATCAAAATTTCAGGCTCAGGCTGTTGCCTGTGAAAGTAGAAGCTGAGAAACCTCTGGGTGCCTCTTTTGCAGAGCACATGGGTGTTGCACGGCATTACCTTGACGTTTTCCTTACCCATGACCTGTTTGCACGTGTACAGGTTGGCTTGGTGAGAGGATGTGAGATTCTGTAGTTTGGGGACCCAACCACAGCGTCAGTGAGGGAGAGAGGAGGTGATTTTGGTCCTGAGGTCCCCATGTGTGCCAGTTCCCAGCACGAACACCCCTTGCTCCCAGATGCAACAGGAGCTGTTTGCGTTTCACCTTCATCACGCCCAGTCAGGGTAGGAATCATCTCGCCCACCTTCAGCTCTTTAGAAATTACATGGACCTGTCTGTGAAAACCGTTTTAGGCAGCTGACTGACTGCAAAGGGAGTGTAGAAGACAATGCAGATGAAAGCCTTCTAGCTGACTAAAGCCAAGTGACCAGCATTCATAGAATCATAGAATGGTTTAGGTTGGAAGGGACCTTAAAGCTCATCTCGTTCCAACCCCCCTGCCCTGGGCAGGGACACCTCCTACCAGCCCAGGTTGCTCCAAGCCCCGTCCAACCTGCCCTTGAACACCTCCAGGGATGGGGCAGCCACAGCTTCTCGGGGCAACCTGCCCCAGGGGATCACCACCCTCACAGGCAACAATTTCTTCCTGATATCTCAGCTAAATCTCCCCTCTTCCAGTTTGAACCCATTCCCCCTCGTCCTGTCGCTATATGCCCTTGTAAGAAGTCCCTCCCCAGCTCTCCTGGAGCCCCTTTAGGCACTGGAAGGGGCTCTGAGGTCTCCCCTTTTTCGCCTTCTCTTCTCCAGGCTGAACCCCCCCAACTCTCCCAGCCTGTCCTCCCAGCAGAGGGGTTTCATCCCTCTGATCACCTTTGTGGCCTCCTCTGGCCCCGCTCCACCAGCTCCATGGCTTTCCTATGTTGGGGTCTCCAGAGCTGGATGCAGTACTCCAGGTGGGGTCTCACCAGAGCAGAACAGAGGGGCAGAATCCCCCCCTTGCCCTGCTGGCCACACTTCTTCTGATGCAGCTCAGGATGTGGTTGGCTTTCTGGGCTGTGATCACACATTGCTGGCTCATGTTGAGCTTCTCGTCAATCAGCACCCCCAGGTCCTTCTCAGGGCTGTATTGATTCATCCTTCCTTAGGAAAAAAAGATTTTCCTGAAATCCGACATCTCTCTGCCATCTGCCTGTGCTCGGGCTTGCATGCAGGTCTTATCGTTCAGTTTGTACACAGTAGCACGCTTTCGGAAACTTGTGCCTTTGATGGTCAAATATCACAGTGAGATTGCAGTATGCAAGCGGCAAACCGAGATCTGAATTGGAAAGAGAAGCTTTGGAGGAACGCCAAGCTTGAAGCTCAGGGTCCTAAAGATACACCCCTGGAAGGACGGGAGAAAGGTTCAGCCAGTTCAAAGATATGAATATTTGGGGATGGGGGTTGCTTTAAAATGAAATGAAAGAGGAACCGGACACGGAGACAATGTGCTTTTCCCAGAGGTCTAGTTTCTGAGACTCTTTTTTGTTAGTCATTTCCTGTACAAATCCAAGAAGAGATTATAACCAGAACCCCGACACTGTCAAATGCGGTGAAATAGTTCCCTGTTTGCAAGAACTGTTGAGAACATGACCTGCTTGGCTAATGCTGAGAAAAGTGGTTTGTGAAAGGACTGGAGAAAGATCCCGCTCTGGACACTGCACAGGCTCACCAAGGCAGGCTTCGGTCCAGTTTTCCAAGTGATAATTCCAGGAAAACTCATGAAGATCCCATCACGGAGGCGGCAGCTGGCGAGCACGAGGTGATGTGAGTCTGCAGGGCGTCTGCTCCAGCGAAGTTCTCCAGGCTGCGAGAGGAAAGAAGGTCAGACTTTTCTGGGTGGGAGGGTGGTTTCTTTTTCAGCCTAATCGGTGCCTCCCCTCGTTGGTTTTGAACCTGTTGGTCAGTTTGCACCAAATCTGGTTGGGGAATAGTGCTCTTGAGGGTATTAAGACCTATAAATATTGTGGAAAGAGGTGAAAGGGGAATAATGAAATGAGTGTACCCCTGAAGGAACCCAGCAGTAATATCAACTATAACATTAGAAATCTGAGAATCCATATCAGATCCACCCCCTTTTTTGACATCTCCAAGGACAACCCTTTCATCTTGTTATTTCCCTCCTCCCGACCTGTCCTGGCCGAAGCCAGGAAGGAGGCATCTCACTAGCTTTTGCTCCACCTCTTGTACATACTCTTCTGCCAGGTGTGTCATACCAACCTCCCCACACCCTGGCTGCCATCTCTCCTGTCCCTCGTTCCTCTCTGTGCTCCTCCACGCGGAACCTGGGGCATGGCTGCAAAGACCTGAACCACCTTCTTTCGGGGACAGCAGAGTTGCTAACGTGTCTCTGTCTTATCTCGTCCCTCCAGCTGTGCGAGGAGGAAGGAGAAGCGGCAGAGGTTTCGTAATGAGCACAGTGTTCCCTGCTGTGGAACCAGCCAGCCCTGCTTGCTGGAGCCAGCCCGGTGGGACAGCATACAACAGGAGCTGGCATCACAGGCTGCTGAGGCACGAGGATGATGACTACAACTGGACCGTCTATGAAGATGGTCACTTGAGCAAAGTCCCTGTCACGCTGCTCATCTGCGTCTGTGGGCTGGTGGGGAACGGGGCCATCCTCTGGTTCCTCGGTTCCCGTGCCCGCAGGAATCCCATCACCATCTACGTCCTCAACCTGGCCGTCGCCGACTTCACCTTCCTCCTCTCCATCGCCATTGCCCTTGTGATACTTTACAGCCCAGAGAGCCTTTGTCACAGGCTGGGCTCACGGGACGTGACAACCGTGCTGAACATCACCATCGTCTTCTCTTTCACTGCCAGCGTCTACCTCCTGACAGCCGTCAGTGCCGTCACGTCTCTGTCCCTCCTCCCCCTGGCCCGCTGCCCCTGCCAGTGCTCCTGGCGCTTGCCAGTGCTCGTGTGTGCCCTGCTCTGGTTCCTCTCCTCCCTGCTCACCCTCACCCTCTCCTTCTGCCCTGCAGTGCTCATCGCCTTCGTCCTGAGCTACCTCCTGGCAGTGCTTACCCTCATGTTGGCTGGTTTAACCCTGCTTGCCAGGGTCTTGTGTTGTTCACGGCAATATCCCCCAAGGACGCTCTGTGGTGTGGTCCTGCTAGCTGTCTTCTTCTTCCCATTCTTCACTGCGGATTTTGGTTACTGGCTCTTGCTAAGACTCTTTGATTTTTCTGGTTTTGTCTTCGATGACTCTCTCCCATTGGCCTGTCTGAACAGCACTGTCAAGCCTGTTATTTACCTCTTGGCTGGGACCTGTGCAAAGAACTTCACACCCTCTGTCAGGGTTGCTTTCCAGAGGGCTTTTGAAGATGTAACAGAGCCCCAAAACAGAGGGGAAACTCCCGGAGAAAACACGGTGGAAACAGCTGTTTAAACCTCTGCAGACACTTTCTGAGAGAAGATACTCCAGGGATGGAGGCATCTCGTGAGCCATGGCGAGCCAAGGAAGATGGTTTTGGCGTGGGACTGGCCACAGCTGAATGGAATTAGCTGCAGCACAAGGAACCGTGCTGGGGTGGACACTGGACAATGTGGAGAAATACCCACTGAAACCTTTTGCGTTGAAACCTTTGCTGGGGATCTGTCCTGTCCAGCAGGTCTGAGCTTTCCCTGTCTCAAAAGTGACCTCCCTCTACCCTGCGCTCTATTAAAACAGAGCCACGGAGGCTCTCAGCTCCTGCCAGTGGGGTTTCTTGGTGTGTCTTCTTAAGAGCAGAGGTTGGGTGGATCAGAAAGCTTGGCACAGCAGGGCAGAGCCATTGCTGGGCAAACCCTTGTGTGTGCTCCTCCTCAGTGGGTGCTGAACTGTGTGAAGAATATGTGGAGACTGCACAGTCAGCGTTGTTGCCAGGCAAGTAGGCATGTGTTTGGGATCGCCCCAGAAGGCTTTCAGCACTTGTGGGCAGCTCCACTGTGGTGATTTGGCTCAACTTGAGCCTTCTTATGGTGAGATACATCTCTGCTAACTGCATCCCAGAGACATGTCTTCTGCTGCCCAGGTCCCTCCCAGAATGAATGAGGAGGTCTTGGCACTGTCAACAGATGGCTCACCCCAACCATCGCGGTCACCTGCCTTAGGATGAGGTCCAACATGCTCTAGGGGTACCTGTCCTCCTCATAGGTGAGACAGAGACTTTAGAATGAGAGGAAACGAGCCGTTTTATGACAGAGCGGAGTCAGCCTTGCTCTGCTCACCAGTGACCAGCTCGGCAGTGAAGCCCAGTTGTTGTTTATTCAACAGAATTTGTGGTCAGAGTTACCATGTTGGCCAACAAAAAAAAAAAGAAATCCAAATTTCATGTAGGAGTAGTAACAAAATGATGCCTTAGGTAAGTAACCAGAAAAAGACCACTGTAATTGGGCTTTTGGAGCGTACGCTTATTTACCAAAGCAGCGGTGCCCAGGAGCTGCTCAGTTCCTCCTGAGGATGGCTGGGGTCAGGATGGAGGCATTGATGGGCTTCCGCTTGATGCTGAAGCTGAGGAACCAAAGGATGGCCCCATTCCCTGCCAGCCTGCGGAGGCAGATGAGCAGTGTGATGCTCCCAATTTCCATAAAATTAAGTGGCCCATACATTTGGTGATGTTAATTTCCGTATTTCAGGGTCTTTTTGCTCATGGAGACAGAGGTGCGTTGGGTGGAGATACTATGAAATCTTCGCTGCGAGCCAAAAGAGTACGGGAATTATTGTCTCTGACTTGCCGAGACCATCTGATCTGGTAATCCCCTGACTTGCGTGATGGCAAAGAGCCGTGTTCGGGGAGTGTTTGGTGGGCTGTGCCAGAGCAGGTTCCCGTCGCAGCTTCTGCAGCTGGCACTGGCCCGCTGTGCTTATCTCTGGCATCAGAGAGGTGATCATTGCCATCAGACATCCTGAGTTGCACTGTGTTAGCTCACTCTTCACCTTGAAATATTTCCTTGCCAAAATCGCTGCCTTTTCTGGAGACATAGCTTCCCCCATCTCCCCTTCCAACTTTGGAGGACAGGGCATCATAGGCTTGGCTGAAGTCAGGCAAAAGAGTCTGAAGCCTCCTTTGGGATGCTTTTGTCCTTGTGGACAAAACTTTTGTGGAGATATTGCAAAGGGAAACATGTCTTAAAAACCACTCCTGGTTTTCATGTAGGGACTGATAGGAACAGGGCTGGAGTAGATACTCTGTGCCCTTGGAGGGACATCTACTGTCCTGTTCGGTCACTGAGAGGCCCCAGCAGGGAGGTGACAACCTCCAGAATGCAATGTCTGGTCACCCAGCCTTAGTCTGTTGCAAAAAGCCGTGTTGCCCTGGAGAAGAGCTGGAAAACAGCACATTGCGTGAACTTCTAGGCACAAAAATGAATGTGGAGAACATGCCACTCGTAGACCCCCGGCACTATCGAGCCCATACTTTTCTCAGAAAGATTTAACCGTGGAATTAAAGAGTATGACAAATTCCCACTTCAGGTAGAGAAGTTCTGCAAAGTCAGGCTTGCCAGGAAAAGGGGTTGGTGACGGCTGTCTGGGACAGCCACTTTGGTTTGGTCTCCTCCCTCGTGCCTGAGGAGCAGGCCTTTACCAGAGATCACATACCGTGGTCAGGAGACTCCCCGCACAATCTCAGCACATCAATGATGACTTCCAATCATAAGTCCATGGAAGGCGATCTTGTCAGTAGGAGGCAGCCACGTCACCCCCTTCCTCTCCTTCCAACTTCCTCCAGTGCCATCCCACCACGAGAGGGCCTTCAGGCTTTCCCTGTGTGTACCTGGAGCTGGACCAGGAGACCCTCCACTTTGGGAAATGCCCAGGGTGTGGACATGCAACAGCACAAGGGCTTCACCCGCTGCTTCTGATGAAACTCCCCCCGGCGGGTGGCCTTAGAGATTGCGTCTGTGGGTTACATGGAGCTGCAGATGGGGTTTTATCTGCAGATTCTTGTCTCACCCAACCTCATCCATCAGCACTGTGGGGACAGCTCACTGCTCTCTGTATTTCTTTTGCTTTCCCATTCTCTCTAGTGCTTTTTTGCTTTCTCTCTTCCTTTCTCTTCCTTTCTTCCTTCCTTTCTTTCTTTCTCATTGTCATGGTTAAACCCTGGCCACCAAGTAGGACCACGCAGGTGCTCTCTCACTTCTCCTCCTCTCCCCCAGAAAAGTAGGGAGAAGAGGGAGAAAAGGAGGCAGCACAGAAAAAAAGCATGTCGTAGAGTCACATAAAGACAGTTTAATAGAGCAATAATGGACAAGGAAAATAACAACAATAACAATAACAATAATGGTAAAGGAATGTACAAGCCAAACTAATACAACACAAGTCACTCTCACCCACTCTCAACACCCGATGACCGATTGTTCAGCCCTCCTTGAGCAGCGACCACAGATTCCTGCTCCCCGGCCCATCCCCATTGATGTCCTCAGCATGATGTCTATGGCACGGAACATTCCTTTGTCCAGCGTGTCCTCTCTGTGCTCCCTCTCAGCTTTTGCGGGAAGCTGAAAAAAGTCCTTCAGTCCTATAACCATTACCTGGCAACAGCTAAAACAATATGCATTATCGACTTTCATACCAAATGTGTAACACAGCAGCCACGAGAAGGAACTCTACCCCAGCTGCAACCAGGACACTCATTCTCCAAACTGTCATTTTACCCTACACCTTATTCTCTACACCACTCCTCCCCCACCACCAACCAGGACCCTTTGGCTTGCTCATTTTTGCAGTCCTTTTTGCAGAGCCCGGCCTTGCTTGGACAACAGAGATGGCCAGAGCTCCCCCAGGGCATCCTGTGTCAGACTTTTCCCAGGCAAGACATCTCCCAAAACACCACAGAACTCATCTGCTGAGCTAAAGGGGACAAAGTTTATTCGCCGGGGACAGAGCAATGAGGGTCACGGCCATGGCAATAGAGCGCGGGCACAGGGACTGAGCCTGGCTGAGCAGTGCTGCGCTGGGCTGGGCTGGCTCTGTGCTTTGTGCCCCCGTGTCTCCATCTCCTTCTGGTGGTTGGCGAGGGGACGCATCTCCAGGTCTCCTTGCCAGCAGTGCCTTACACAGTGGTCTCCACTGTAGTGTCCTCAGGCACGTGGCTCCCCTCCTCACTTGTAGCTTTCTCTTCGAACACTTGGCGGAGGGCGACTTTCACTGAGCTGTGGAAGCGGTGCTGACGGTAACTCCCCACCAGGAAATAAATGAATGGGTTGACGCTGCTGTTCAGCGATGTCGGCAGGTAGGCAATATGAAGGCAAAAGACGTTTATATAAATAAGATCGGTGAAAATTGCCAGAGTGGGAGGAAACCCAAAGATGAACATGAAGATGACGCTGAGGAGGACAGCAACATAGAGTTTGCCCGGGTGTCGTCTCTGTGAGCCACATCGGAGTTTGATGAAGAGGGACATGTTGGAAAGCAATGTGAACACAGAGAAAATGAGAAAATTCACAATGCTTAAACCTTTTAATAGTTCTTCACAGTGTTTATGAAAATGGCTATTACAGATTACACAAGTCAAAGAAACAACAAGTCCGTCAAGAGCCCAGAGCACCCCACACATGATGCCTGACAAGTGCTTTGGGCGGTGACACCGGTACCAGATTGGGAACAAAACAGAGACGCACCTCTCAATGCTCATGGCTGTCAGGAGACACATGCTGGCAAAATAACAAAACAGAAACAGAATCATCAGGATATAATAAGACAAATCATACTGTAATTGATAAAACCCATAGGCTGATGAAATAATGTATAATGTAAGTACAACGAGGAGGAACAGGAGCAGAGAGAAGTCAGCGATGGCCAGGTTCAGGACATAGACAGTGAAGGGGGTCTTCTTCATCTGGCAGCCCAGGAACCACAAAACCACCATATTCCCCACAAGTCCACACAGACAAATACCAATAAAAACACTTGCAGTTATCGACATATTCAACTGGTAGTTTATGCACCAATTTGGTTTAGCTGGCGGCAAGTCTGCATATCCAGAATCTATGTAGTACAGATAGAGGTTGGTTGTGTTGGTCTCCTCCATGGCGAATGACCCTACTCCGGGTGGCCGCCTTCTCCCTCTCCCACCACTCCTAGGAGAGACCAGGAATCAGAAGGAAATGAGGGGCATCAGCGTTCCCAGCACTCATCATCTTTCCCCATGGCCCCACGCCAGCCCCAGGCTATGCCAGGAAAGACCCCATCCCCTGCCATGACCAGGACAGCCTCCACCCCTCCAGCCCTGTCCCAGCTGGGAGGCATCTGTCATGGAGTCTTATTAGGAAATTAAATTAGGCAGCTGATAAACTCAAACTAAACTTTGTTTCTACCAAAACTGTTTAAGACTCCAACAAACATTATCAAACAAATAACCAACAGGCTCAAGATGTTAAAAGGAATTAATACGCCACAGCCAATTTAAGAATTCTTAAGCTTTGGCAGCATGTCCCAAAATGCCTAATCGCTCACCTAGTCAGGTGATGGCTCTCAGCTTGCAGGAGTGGTGATGGGTGACATCCCAAACCACAGGGAGAGTCCCTGACTGCAGACCCGCTTCTCTGAGGAGGACTGATTCAATTTGCACCCCGTCTGGGCTCCATTTATACCCTCGGTCAAATCTGATCTGTGGTCATACATGGTCATGTTAGTCCTCATTGGCTGAGGGCCTTAACTTGCTCATCTTTCAGCCGAAGTGTGCATGTGACTGGGTCACCTGACCCCTAAACCACAACTGCCAGAGTTTGGAGAAGTTTTGGTCCCTATCAGGGTGGGTGCACCTGCCAAAGAGTCCACCCCTTGACCACAGTCACTATTTGACTGGTTTCTTTGGAGTGGTCCTACAGTCACCTCTTGCCTTCAAAGTTAAGAGGGAGCGTGGTCTCTGGGACCCTCATGCTCATGGTGGATCATCGTTTCTTGGTTGTCCTAAGGTTGTATTGGGACATCAATTACACAAATGGTTTTTGGGGGAGTATACTCCACAATCGATACAGATCTCACTATTGCACACTTAGTGCAACTTATCATAATACAAATCCAAATAACCATAACTACAATCATTATCAAAGACTGGAGGATGCTAGTTAGCCATGCTGACAAAGACGACCCAAACATATCAAAAACTTTCCCCAGCCAGTCCATTCGTTCTGCAGCAACAATTGCCTCCGAGTCTGTTGCCACCTTCATCATCATGTTGATTTGCTCCTTTAGCGGCATCGGCATCAGTACGTGTGGGATATCTCCTTTAATAGCATAATTTCATTTAATCGCATAATTTGATGTAATAGCATCAAGTCCAAAACGGCTCGGTTTTGGAGAGTCATTTTACCAGTATGTTGTAACTGATTGTTTCAGAGTCCCAGGCTACCAGACGTAGCGTTGGCTAAGGCTCACAGTTGTAGGCCTGGTTCCAGAATGCCCTGAATACTGATTCCACCCACCATCCCACTTGCGCTGGGGCTTCCTGGTGTGGTACTATTTTCACCATCATTCCACCCCTTGGCCTCATCACCAGGTGGGAAGTTCTAATTATATCTTGCGTCCCACATTGAGCTAGCATTCACCACATCAGATGGCCAACTATGGGCAATACGGCCATAGACATTTCCAATATGAAAGCTGTAATTATTATATTGTTTCCATATAAACTCGAGGGCTAGTGGTACATTAACTTCCAGCACAAAAATCAGTAAAGGGTCTTCTGCTGACTTGGGGGTAGATAGGCAGACTGCTACAGAGGCGAGGTTCATCATTTGGGCAAACCCTATTATCGTTTTTGCTACCATATTGTTGTCCAGATCCCCTTTATCCACGCTGACCATTCCCACTGTTGCCCGTAGAAGCGCCAGGACAGCCCGTTTGTCCATTGTCCTCTAAGAAAACATGAAGTTGGGGCTCGGATTTTTGAAACTGGGCATAGGGGTTAGAAATTGGGAATTGTCCACTGAGCACCTATGTGGTCAGTCTTTCCACCCCTGTTTAGAGCTTCCCAGCTGCGAGCTTATTTGTTTCACCTAAATAAATGGAACTTGTTTTGAACTTCTGCTTAGTTACACAAAGGAAGGCCCTGAGACTGGTGTGAACCAGGAGATAAGGAAGCTGCAACCATCAGTAGAGGCTGCAACCCGACAAGATAAGACCAGCTAACGGCCCGCTGGGAGACACAGAAAGAAGCCAATAAGGGAAAAGAAGACCCCAGACCAGAAATTACCACTGGACCAGGTGGTGTGTGCAAGGCGCGTGAAGAGCACATGAAAGGCAGATGCATGGATTGTAAGGGTATAATGGCCCAGTAATTTCTTTGTTCTGGGTCCCTCCCTGGAGGCACCCAGCTCGAGCTGCCCTTGCTGCTGCACCACTTGAATAAATTATTTATTTGGGGGATTTTTGCCTGAGTCTCTGCTACAGGAAACTTAGGGCGAAGTAACTTCTTTAACAGTTTGGCACCCTGAAGGGGACCCTAGGCCACCACCACCTTCACATCCTCTTGTCTCCAAACATCCAACTGCTGGCATTGGGTGAGTTCACCCGGAAACTTTGACGCCGAAGGGCGAGCATGACAATTCCCTAAACAGAAAATCCTGTAGGGAGTTTGAGTCTTTCTCTCTGTACCACAGCGAGTCTGAGTTTCTCCCTTGCTGCAGCTTTAGGTGGTGTGCAGCCTCATCAGCGCAAGGTGCACGTGGTAGGGGGTTCAAGTGCTGCGGGGTTCAAGTCTCTTTTAGTGGCAGAAAAAGAATCGGAAATAGATCTGGCACAGAGAAAAGGACGTCTTTGGCTGAGGTACAGCAAAAACTGGGAAGAATTTATGCTCCACGGCTGGCCATTTATAACCAGAGATGGAAACTTGGCAGAACGGCGGCCACCACAGGGGACCTTTGATCAGCACAGCCTTACCTTTCTGCACCATTGCCAAGAGGATGGCTTCCTGGGACAAATGGATTACTGGTATGTTTGGGATGACTGAGCGCGGGAGAGGAAACACCCAAGTCGGAGGTGCGGGATAAAAGAGGCATTGCCAAAAGTAACGCCTCCAGTAGCGGAGGCTACTGCCCTGGATGAAGCCTCAGCTAATGTCCCAATCGCATCCGCTCCACCTTATATACCTACTGCTCCTTCTCTGCCTTCTGATTCTGCTCCCCCGGCTGCCAGACTCCACCCTATGATTTTTACTGTTTTACCTAATCCCGCTGCTATGCAACCGGGAGGTGACAGGGTTCCCCCTGTGTTGCACGATTTATGAACCAGCCTTGGAATCCCAGAGATTCCGCTTCACGGGGGAGTAAAATGCCCAGACTGAGAGAGGATGCAGAAAAAATGTGCTCAGTTGTTTTTCTAATATATGCCCAGGGTGTGACCCAAATTGGGGAGATACCGAAATACTTTTAAAAGAATTGTTCCGGCCAGATGAATGGAAAAAGATAATTAAGAAAGCTTGCAGAAGTAGCACAAAAAGCTGGGAGAGGTAGAACCCCCTGGCCGGCAAATGATCCAAATTGGGATTAAAATAATGCAGGAGGGAGAGCCACCAGCCAAACTGCAGTCCGAAATTTAGCAGAAGCAATTAGGGCGTGCAGATAATGGCGGGTAAATTGGGCTAAGGTACAGGAGTGCTGACAAAGGCTGGACGAACATCCTAGTGATTTGTGGGCCCGACTCCAACAAGCCTTGTTGAAATATTGGGGGATGACCACTGTCGTGGTTTAACCCCAGCCAGCAACCAGGACCACGCGGCCGCTCGCTCACCCCTCCTTCCCCTCAGAAGGGTGGGGAGAAAAGGGAGAAAAGGAAGGGAAAGGGGGAAAAAAACCCTTGTGGGTGGAGATAAAAACAGTTTAATAGAACAGTAATGGAAAAGGAAAATAACAATAATAATAAAAATATATATATTTAGCGTGACGTCTAGTGTACGGAATATTCCTTTGGCCATTCCATTATTCTGTCTGTGCTCCTTCTCAGCTTCTAGGGGAAGCTGAAAAAAGTCCTTAAATACTATAACGATCACCTGGCAACAAGTAAACCAATACATGATTGACATTCCTTTCATACCAAATCTGAAACACAGCAGCCACTGGAAGGAAAATGAACTCTAGTCCAGCTCAAAGCAGCACAGACCACAAAAAATTTTAATGACGCACTCGCAATTAGCATCAGCGTGGATCAGGCAGCCCCCGATATACAGAAATACTTTAAAGAACACATGCCCGGATTGCAGGGGGAGAATTTGTAAAAGATTTTGAGTGTTGCTGTGTTCGTCTGTGACAGGTGTGAGGAAAAGCAGAAAGCTGAGCAGATTAAAGAAAGACAGAAAGGGAAAGAAGAGGAGGCAAATTTTCTGGTCACGGCTTTGGCAAGGAGCTTGAAAGGGAGAAACAGGGGCCGAAGGGGAAGAAGACCGGGTACAGGGTCTGGACTAGAACTGGAAGGAAAACACGGTGGAAACAGCTGTTTAAACCTCTGCAGATGCTTTCTGAAAGAAGATGCTCCAGGGATGGAGGCATCTCGTGAGCCATGGCGAGCCAAGGAAGATGGTTTTGGCGTGGGACTGGCCACAGCTGAATGGAATTAGCTGCAGCACAAGGAACCGTGCTGGGATGGACACTGGACAATGGGGAGAATTACTCACTGAAACCTTTTGCGTTGAAACCTTTGCTGGGGATCTGTCCTGTCCAACAGGTCTGAGCTTTCCCTGTCTCAAGTGACCTCCCTCTATCCTGCTCTCTGTTAAAACAGAGCCATGGAGGCTCTTAGCTCCTGCCAGTGGGGTTTCTTGGTGTGTCTTCTTAAGAGCAGAGGTTGGGTGGATCAGAAAGCTTGGCACAGCAGGGCAGAGCCATTGCTGGGCAAACCCTTGTGTGTGCTCCTCCTCAGCGTGTGCTGAACTGTGTGAGCTGAACCGTGTGAAGAGTATGTGGAGACTGCACAGTCAGCGTTGTTGCCAGGCAAGTAGGCATGTGTTTGGGATCACCCTGGAAGGCTTTCCTAGAACTGCATTGCTTCTGCTGCTAACTGAGCTTTGTCCGCATATCATGTGGGTTGTCTGCACGCGAGGCTTATTGACTGGAACTGCCTCTGGTGGTTCCTCCCACTTTTCTCCGGGCTGTCTTGATGGTTAGCTTGAGCAAATGCCATTTCGCAACCATGACCTGAGGTCCGCATCTATTTCTGGTGTGTTTGCTCCTCATCTGGAAAAACAAGAGGAATAGGGCTAAAATGAAACAACCCGAAAAGCACAGCCCTGCCGGAAGACTCTGTAAAGAATGTGTTTTCCATGTGGAAGAGAATACAGGGAGAAGGAAGGAAAACGGTGGACTTTTTATGGAAAAGACCCTGTTGAGACCATCAGGACTGACTCCCTGTAGCCCGGCTCAGGCGCTCGTGGGGTAAAAGGGGTAGTGGCAGCATTTTCTCGGCTCCTCTCTCTTCTCCATGGCTGTGAGGTCTTCCCATCAAGGAGCTGGGGGGACGCAGGGGTACAACAGCTCTTGTTTGCATGTGAACTAAGCCACCAGCAAACCATCGCTTTTGAGCTGGTTTTGTTCCGTGGTGTGATTCCCCACCAGGCACTAACTCTAGTACGAGCACAAGGGAAAGGTTGGGAAGATGCAGCTGGCAGGGAGGGGTGGAGGGAGAAAAGGCATCAGCAGTGTAGACACAAGACCAGGGCAGTGCAGGACCCAGGATGGTGGCAGAAGTTTCTCTGCACTTGACTTGTCCCTCAGCCCAGAGCTACATGTCACTGGACAGGCTGGAATGAAAATTGATCACTTGGTGCTGTACAGGTACAGAACCATGATAAATAAACTCATAAAAGCCCCTGGTAAAACCAGGAAGCTGGTGGCCTGGGTCTTGTGGTCCAGCTGTAGCCATGTTCCCCTCGAGCAGAGTCAGAAAGCAGCACCTCATGTCAAATTCTTGGTACAAACATGAGCACTGGGAACATGCCACTCGTAGTCCCCCAGCGCTACTGAACCCATACTTTTCTCAGAACGATTAAACCTCGGAATCCAACAGTGTGACAAATTCCCCCTTCAAGTAGATTGCTCTTATCTCTTCCTCAGCTCTGCAGCCCAACATGATGTTGGTTTGCTTCTCTTTCCATCAACCGGGAGTGCAGGGCAGCTCTTCTGACCAGCTCTTTAGACAGAAGAGCAAGGATGCTCTGTGATCCGTACCCCTCTCCTGCCATCTAGAGGCATCAACCCCACAGATACGTGTGAAATCACTGCCAGCCCTGTGCTGGATGAGTCCCCGCAGCCTTACGAGCCTGGGGTGTGGGTGAGCAGTGGGACCTGAGTCTCTTGCTCTTGCTTGGAGGAGTCTGAGCAGCCCCGGAGAAGGCAGAGGGGTTCAGCTGGGATGTGGAGGGCATTTTGGTGGGGGTGAGTTGCCATCTAGCTTCTCTTTGCAAGGGTATCCTCCTCGGCTTCCACGAGCAAGTTGCTCTCCAAGGAGTCCTCACCCTCCACCTCCCACCTGGGTGGCAGCAGACATAGAGGTACGGCCAGCTCTGCCATCCCAATGTCTCCATGTCGAGGGAACCAGGGACAGGAGGGGGTTGCACTACCCCATGGACAAGCCACACGTCTGCTTCCCAGAGCAGCAATTGCCTCTACGCTTCGCTCAGCCTTTCACTTCAGCACGGGTGCAGCAGTGCCGGCGAGATGCCCACTGGACCCCCTAGGCATGCCCATTTTGCCCATCCTTTCAGTAATCCTGACTTGCTTGGACAACAGAGATGGCCAGAGCTCCCCCAGGGCATCCTGTGTCAGACTTTCCCCAGGCAAGACATCTCCCAAAACACCACAGAACTCATCTGCTGAGCCAAAAGGGCCAGAATTTATTTGCCAGGGACAGAGCAATGAGGGTCACGGCCATGGCAATAGAGCCCGGGCACAGGGACTGAGCCCGGCTGAGCAGCGCTGCGCTGGGCTGGCTCTGTGCTCCGTGCCCCCATGTCTCCATCTCCTTCTGGCTGTCGGCGAGGGGACGCATTTCCAGGCCTCCTCGCCAGCAGTGCCTTACACAGTGGTCTCCACTGCAGCATCCCCACGCACGTGGCTCCCCTCCTCACTTGTCACTTTGTCTTCGAACACTCGGCGAAGGGCGACTTTCACTGAGCCTTGGAAGCAGTGCTGCCGGCAGCTCCCCACCAGGAAATAAACGACTGGGTTGACGCTGCTGTTCAGTGATGCCAGCAGGTAAGCAATCTGAAGTATATATAGGCGTCTACCAAAATAACGAATAAGAATCACCACAGTGAGAGGAAGCCCAAAGATGAACATGAAGATGACACTGAGGAGGACAGCAACATAGAGTTTGCCCGGGTGTCGTCTCTGTGAGCCACATCGGAGTTTGATGAAGAGGGACAGGTTGGAAAGCAAAGGGAATAAAAAGAAAATAAGAATATTTGCAATGCTTAAACCATCTAATACTTTGTCACACTCTCGATGATAAAATGAAGTACAAATAATGAAAGCCAAAGAAACAACAAGTCCAGCAAGAGCCCAGAGCACCCCACACATGATGCCTGACAAGTGCTTTGGGCGGTGACACCGGTACCAGATTGGGAACAAAACAGAGACGCACCTCTCAATGCTCATGGCTGTCAGGAGATACATGCTGGCCAAATACCAAAACAGAAACACGATCATCAGGATAAGCCTGCTAAACTCCTCTTCAAATGTGGGAAAACAACTAGTTGATGAAATAACGTATAATGTAAGTATAACAAGAATGAACAGGAGCAGAGAGAAGTCAGCGATGGCCAGGTTCAGGACATAGACTGTGAAGGGGTTCTTCTTTATCTGGCAGGCCAGGAACCGCAAAACCACTGTATTCCCCACAAGTCCCCAGAGGCAAATACCAATAAAAACACTTGAAATTATCAACATATGATAACTTCGTGTTAGGCACGGATATTCTGTAAGTGCCTGTGAGTCTGCATATCCAGAATCTATGTAGTTCCGAGAGAGGTTGGTTGTGTTGGTCTCCTCCATGGCGAATGACCCTGCTCTGGGTGGCCAGCTTCTCCCTCTCCCACCACTCCTAGGAGAGACCAGGAATCAGAAGGAAATGAGGGGCATCAGCGTTCCCAGCACTCACCGTCTTTCTCCACTGCCCCATGCCAGCCCCAGGGCATGCCAGGAAAGACCCCGTCCCCTGCCATGACCAGGACAGGCTTCCACCCCTCCAGCCCTGCCTCTGGATAAGAACCATCTCCCCAATGCCCATCCCCAGCCTCCTACCTCCTGGTTCTCCTGGGAACTGTGCTGCCACAAGAGCCCCACTACACAGGGCCTCCACAAGGCCAGACTTGCCAGGAGAAGGACAGTGGTGATGGCTCCTGGGACCACCCGGTCTGCTTTGGCCTCCTCCCTCATGCCTAGGCAGCAGACCATTGCCCAGAGATCATGTTGTATGGTCAGTAGATTCCTGTCACAATCTCAGTACATCAGTGACAGCTTCCCCTCACGTGTCCAACGGACAGTGATCTTGTCAGTAGGAGCTGGCCACGTCACCCTCTTCCTATTCTCCCGATGTTAACCAATGTCATCCCACCATGCGAGGGGCTCCTGGTGTTTGCTGTCTGTACATGGTAGTCCAAGACTTCCCCGTGCTCTCCCTGGGGGCGCTTTGCCCCCATACAGAGCCTTCTCCAAAATGTGTGGCAACACCTGGAATGCATTGCAAGGAACTTAGCTACGGCTTCAAAACCATAGGAGACAACCTCCACAGAGCCAAGGCCAAGCAAGATCTTCTGCTTGGAGGCTAAGGAAGAGAAAGGAGCACCATGCCAATAAGGGATGATGCTGGGAAACTATTTTCCTGGTGGAAGCAAAGAAAGAAATACAGATGCTGTCAGTGAAGGACAATGATGAGCCGATTTTTATAGGCCCAGAACTGTGGGAAAAGGAATGAAGGGACTTCATCTCATGAAGCATGACTGAACAACATAGCATGCCAAACTGTCCACGTGAGGCACTCTGATCTTCTCTTCCAGGGTCCCGAAGGCAAAACCAGGCCTTATTTGCCCTGACCCCACCCCTCCATCTCCTGCCTGTGGCATCAGGGGCTCCAGTTATGGCCAGGCCTGAACAACCAGGCAGTGCCTGAGCTGTGCAGGAGTTGCACCTCTCTGAAGACTTGTCTCCATCCCCCTCTCATGGACAAACTTAGTTCCTATGCTCTAGGCTTGTTTCAATTTTATCTCTGGTCCCCAACAGGCTGGACTCCCTGGACCTTGTTCATTACCGTGTGTTCAGCACATGAAATCAAAGGGAGGACATCAGTCTTGGGGGTGACAAGCATAGGCAGTAACTCCCAAGAAGAGATGTTCAAAAGATGGAAAACACATGGAAGGGGGGGAGAAAATAAGCAATGAAAATGGCAGTCCCTGTGAGGCTAAAGGATGAGATCGTGCAACAGGAACCACTTGTAGATAAAAGCACATTTGCAGCACTATGTACCACACAAACTGTAATCTCAGAGGAGACACATGCGTGTTAGGGATGTGATTAGAGGCAGTGGGCAAAAGCCTCGTGCTGTTCTCTATCGGAACACTGGTGATTTCTCACGGCAAGTTGAGGCAAGGCCAGTGCTCTACTCTGCTCCTTGGCTGCTGCTGAGGGGACGCTGTTGGCACCCCAGCTGCAGGGAGTGGGTGTAGAGGAGACCCGGGGGGAGCAGAGGAAGGGATGCGCATGACAGGGATTGGTTCTGCACCTGAGGAATGACGGGAAGAAGAAGGAGCATTAAGGCCATGGGACCGTCAGGGACTTCTGAGGGGTTTCTGCTGGTTCATCCCCAATGTTGATGGTCCCTGGCTCATCTCACTCATTCTCATCTTTCTGCCTCCATCTTGCCCTGCCCAATCACTTCCCCACCACTGCCTCGGCGATGCAGGCCGTAAGGAGAGAGAAGGAACAGCAGGGAGCTAGGGCAAGTCTTCCACCACCCCCAGCTGTGCAGAGCAACACCTGGGAGACCCCAGCATGGTGAGCTGAACCTTGAGAACTGGGGTGTAGAGATCCTGACCAGAGGACTGTTATACATCAGGTGCTGGTGATTACACCACCTGCGTGTCCTTGCCTTTATCTGAGACTGCTGCAGTGGTTCTCATGTGAACATCCTTTTTGATTGGCAGTAGAATGCGTTGTTTCCTTTTTTAAGAAAATCCTGTAATACCTCAAAAGGCCGTTCTGGGGTAAACTCTGCATGGACAGGATCTGCCCCGATCAGAGGTCTGTTTGATGCTGCAAGACCTGGGGTTGTCAGCACCTGAAGGGACATAAGATTATCTGTGCTACCTTCTCCTTCTTCCTAGTTTCAGATGTAGTCAATGGTGTTTAAAATGATACTTGACGGAGTCTGCTTGACTTTCTTAACGGCATCATAAGGCATCAGCATGTCCTGTTGAAAAATAGGGGGGAGGAGGGGAAGGCAGTGACTTGGCCATCTCCTACTGACAAGATCATCGTTGACGGGACATGTGAGGGGAAGCCACCACCGATGTACTGAGATTGTGACGGGAGTCTCCTGACCGCGGAACATGATCTCTGGGCAATGGTCTGCTGCCTAGGCATGAGGGAGGAGGCCAAAGCAGACCGGGTGGTCCCAGGAGCCATCACCACTGTCCTTCTCCTGGCAAGTCTGGCCTTGTGGAGGCCCTGTGTAGTGGGGCTCTTGTGGCAGCACAGTTCCCAGGAGAACCAGGAGGTAGGAGGCTGGGGATAGGCAGGTGGGAAATGGCTCCTGTCCCGGGACAGGGCTGGAGGGGTGGAAGCCTGTCCTGGTCATGGCAGGGGACGGCTCTTTCCTGGCATGGCCTGGGGCTGGCATGGGGCAGTGGAGAAAGACGGTGAGTGCTGGGACCGCCGATACCCCTCATTTCCTTCTGATTCCTGGTCTCTCCTAGGAGTGGTGGGAGAGGGTGAAGGCGGCCACCCAGAGCAGGGTAACTTGCCATGGAGGAGGCCAACACAACCAACCTCTCTCTGAACTACACGACTTCTGGATACGTGGACTATGGGGAAAATATGGAATATGAATGCTCAAGACTGTCTTACGGATTGCTGGTCTTTGTAGGTGTCTGTATGGTGATTTCTCTCTGTGGACTTGTGTGGAATGGGATAGTCATGTGGTTCCTGGGCTTCCACATGAAGAACAGTCCCTTCACTGTCTACATCCTAAATCTAGCTGTTGCTGACTTCTCTCTTCTCCTCCTGTTTTTTCTGCTCCTCTTGGCTATTTTGAGCTTAACATCATTTTGCTCCTATTTGTATCATTTTATTTCTTTGTACATAGATTTTGTATTTGTTGTTGAATTTCTGTGCCACTTTTTTGACCTTAGCAGCCTAGGTCTTCTGACAGCAATCAGCGTGGAGCGCTCTATCTCTGTTCTCTTCCCAATCTGGTATCGCTGCCACCGCCCAAAGCACTTATCAGGCATTGTGAGCGGGGTGCTCTGGGCTCTTGCTGGATTTTTTGTTTCGTCAATGTATCTTAGCTTTAACTTTGCTGAAAGCTACGAGACAGCATTTGCAGGTATAGCCATTGCATTTTCCATGATTTTGTCATCAATGATGTTGATCTCCAACCTGTCCCTCTTCATCAAACTCCGATGCGGCTCACAGAGACGACACCCGGGCAAACTCTATGTTGCTGTCCTGCTCAATGTGATCTTCTTCTTTGCCCTTGGGATTCCTTTCAGTGTAGAGGTTTTCCTCAATCTTCCAAGCTCACACGAATTATTTCCTGAAAATGCACCTCTTCTGCTGGCATTGCTGAACTGCAGCATCAATCCAGTCATCTACTTTCTGGTGGGGAGCTGCCGGCAGCGCCGCTTCCAAGGCTCAGTGAAAGTCGCCCTCCGCCGAGTGTTTGAAGAGAAAGCTACAAGCGAGGAGGGGAGCCACGTGCCCGAGGACACTACAGTGGAGACCACTGTGTAAAGCAACACTGGTGAGGAGGCCTGGAGATGCATCCCCTTGCTGACAGCCAGAAGGAGATGGAGACACGGCGGCACGGAGCACAGAGCCAGCCCAGCCCAGCGCAGCACTGCTCAGCAGGGCCATGACCCTCATTGCTCTGTCCCCTTTGGCTCAGCAGATGAGTTCTGTGGTGTTTTGGAGGATGTCTTGCCTGGGAAAAGCCTGACACAGGACACCCTGGGGGAGCTCTGGCCATCTCTGTTGTCCAAGCAAGGCCGGGATCTGCAAAAAGGATTGCAAAAACGGGCAAGCCAAAGGGTCCTGGTTGGTGGTGGGGGAGAAGTGGTGTAGAGAATAAGGTGTAGGGTAAAATGACAGTTTGGAGAATGAGTGTCCTGGTTGCAGCTGGGATAGAGTTAATTTTCCTTCTTGTGGCTGCTGTGTTACACATTTGGTATGAAAGTCGATAATGCATATTGTTTTAGCTGTTGCCAGGTAATGGTTATAGGACTGAAGGACTTTTTTCAGCTTCCCGCAAAAGCTGAGAGGGAGCACAGAGAGGACACGCTGGACAAAGGAATGTTCCGTGCCATAGACATCATGCTGAGGACATCAATGGGGATGGGCCGGGGAGCAGGAATCTGTGGTCGCTGCTCAAGGAGGGCTGAACAATCGGTCATCGGGTGTTGAGAGTGGGTGAGAGTGACTTGTGTTGTATTAGTTTGGCTTGTACATTCCTTTACCATTATTGTTATTGTTATTGTTGTTATTTTCCTTGTCCATTATTGCTCTATTAAACTGTCTTTATGTGACTCTACGACATGCTTTTTTTCTGTGCTGCCTCCTTTTCTCCCTCTTCTCCCTACTTTTCTGGGGGAGAGGAGGAGAAGTGAGAGAGTGCCTGCATGGTCCTCCTTGGTGGCCAGGGTTTAAGCATGACAATGAGAAAGAAAGAAAGAAAGGAAGGGAGGAAGGAAGGAAGAAAGAAGAAAACCAAGAAAGAGAGAATGAAAAAGAGAGAGAGATGAATAGAAAGGAAGAGAGAGAGCAAAAAAAACCAAGAGATAGAATGGGAAAGCAAAAGAAATACAGAGAGCAGTGAGCTGTCCCCATGGTGCTGATGGTTGAGGTTGGGTGAGACAAGAATCTTGCAGATGAAACCCCATCTGCAGCTCAGCTCCAGCACACAGGACCTCA